CAGGAGCTGATAATTATAATACGTATGCGGATGGCCGCTACGAAGTATAAAAACCGCGCAGTCTGCGCATGTCTCATACGGTTACCCATGATTAGGGATTCTCGAAAGAAACCGAAACGTCAGGAAAATAAAATTCTTCTTCTTGTTCTTCTTCTGAACTGCTTCATGCAACTTGCATATTCGCTTTTATCATTAATGGACGTTTAGGACCGCTTTTACCAAAAAAACTCCCAAACACATCTATTACAAAGCAAGCGTTAGGATTCCAATGTGCAAGTTCAAAAGTCCTGTTCACCACCATTTAACAAATGCTTTTAAAGAAGGAAGTCTATCCTGCCATAGATTCCCAGTGTGGACACGAAACCGGGTAGCGAGCTTGGTTCACTACGTGGCTGCAGTTCTGGTAATACATCATGATAGTTTCAGTCTTTAAAATGACGCCGTTATTGCGTAACAACTGCAGCAGTTTACTTCCTTGGCCAACTAAAGAAGGGAATCGCAGACCGCACCAGGCCCCGAAGAACAGTCACAGGCAGTCTGCATGTTTGACGTACAGCCTACCATGAGCACTTTCCCGCCCCCCCCCTTCTCCGCACTCCTAATCACAACCTCCTCAACAGGCTAACGCCGGCATGCACGAGACGAAGGAACAAAGAGATGACTAATTCCAACCCATTCTTCCCCAACCCCAAGAACCGTCTAAGATATGAACATAATAGACTCATTAATTTTACAGGTCACTATAAAGGCGTGATGATAAGACAGATCGAAAACAGCTGTTTGTTTAAAGTACTTTTCAAATTCATATTTATCATAGACACAACAATGCAAAGGAGTGTTTTACGAACTGTACACGTCAGAAAAAGTACCCACAATTTCTCAGCCAAATGAAGGAAGGGGAGAAAACGACTTACAGAGAAAAATATGGAGGGAAGGGCGAATTTTGTGACGTAGGTGCCCAGACCCTTTACTTGGGCCTCGGTTAGGACTTTGAATTTTCCCGCAAAGTAGCCCAGAAGGATAACGCCGAAGCACTGAATAAGGACGGGTAGGAGGGTCGAAAAGAGGGCGTCGTCCTTCGGCGAAAACGACGCTGTCGACGAATTCATGCTGAATGACTAAATAATGGGATAAGAAAAGAGTCGAGGGTTAAAATGAGAATATATATTGATCAAGAGCAAAATAATTGTCGACAGGGATAAGTGCTGGCCAGAGGTGTGATTAGCAGAATAGGGAAATTAATAAGCCGTCTCAGTCGTCAGCGATGTTGCTTAATTCACCACGATTGTTATCTGTTTGGTCGCTATGCAGCAGACTAAACTTTAACAGTGACAAGCCTCAAAAGACAATGGGTCAGGAGACTGGCCTCTGACGCATTATTTCGACTTTATTCAAATTAGAGTAAGTCGTCGGCTGTCCCCTCAGTGTTTCGAATAAATATAACTAGCTCAATGGAGTCTTTCCTGACAGCTGCCTTTCCTTCATGTCCTTGTCAAGAGAACGCTGAACGGGCAGATTGAGATGGCGGTCTATAGGGAGGCCACGAACACCTCAACCATCCGGTCGCTCACAAACGAAGCTGCATGAGAAGGTTCTTTCAACGGATTCAGACTAACTGTAGCACGTCGGAGGAAAATATAAGAGACGTCCGAAATCTCCGCGTGCGATGCATGCGGAATGGATAGCCGAAGAGTTTTGTAAGCCGATATCTACGAGTTCGGCCTCGAAAGACAAAGAGAACCACTGTCGAGGAAATGACACGATCTACCGTGCATCAGGGACGTCTGCGAAGCGACTGAGCTCATCGCTGCGGGACTGGGTTTTGGAATTACACACCGACGCAAAACTAGCATGCGCAGCAGAGTGATGAAAAGCAAAGACCGGCTTAATCCCAGCGAACAATCTGGAGTAGTGTATCGCATCTCATACCTAAGCTGTCCTTGAACGTATGCTTGGATCGCGCATGCATAACCATAAGCTGGCTGTACGACGTGGCGACGAATTATCGGCAGCTTCTGAGCTTCCCCTCAATTTTCTGTTCGCTAAACATATTCCGAAACATCATGTCCCATTCTCTTTGTTACGTATTCTGAGCAGCAAGATGGACAGGTTCGGATACTTTGAACTTTTCCTGCATCTTGAAGTTGGGAAGTTATTGCTCCTCACATGGATATATTTGGGATCCTAATATTCAAGTTTAGGGACTACGATGACCTCAAGTTCTATGTTCAGGAATTATTGACATCACATTTGCGGAAACCCCGGAAGATTTTACACATTAATTCAGTCAAAATACATATCTCATAGCATTCATCGAATTGACTATCTCAGATGTTTCCATAGCATCCGCTCATTGCCACCTTTGATGCAACTCTAACGGATATTGATAAAATTTTTGAACGCAGTTTGCGAGATTCACCGATGCAAAAAATCGTCGAATTTCGCTACATGAGCACTGTTTTGTGTGTCCAGTGGGAGGTATGGTGCACAGTGCGATTCGGACATAGGCAGAGGCTTGCGCTCTGTTTAAGATACTTAACGCTACGAAGAATCATAATGTTTGGGGACGCATGGCTTCAAACCACTTCCTTATATTTGCACTGATATCACCACACAATAAGGCCTTCACTTTTCAGTAAACGGTAAACCCTGGTGTGACTGATTAGTAACTACCAATGTCTGTGTAGATATACAGTAGGTCCTGATAACAACGAAACCGTTGGAGATTAAAAGGAAATCACATTTGCAAAATGTTAAGTTTAGTTGCTCTATTCTCTTATGATGACATCAGAGGTGTGCAATTTTCACACATAATTCGACAATGTCAAACAGTTCACTCAAGACCGACAAATGCGTCAAAAATACGTGACGATTTTAACGGGTGAGTAAAATTCGCATTGAGCTGCAAGAAGCCAAACAGTGTTAATGTACATTAACATTTTGTAATATGAATTTATCTGAATAAATCGCAGCTGACCAAGGCATAGCCTAAGGAGAAAAATAAGTTAGCACGATTGTTAAATTGATTGCATCCTATATGGGCATCGGTATGCATTACTCAACCAACTAGGTCCGTATTTAGGGAACAGTCGTAGCGAATCTATACAGTAGTCGCCGGTTATCAAGCCTACGGCTAATAAGCCCAGTCGCCGGCTACAAAGCCCAGTTTGCCAACAGTATAGAATTCTCATCTCTCTGCGTGCGCAACTGGTAACGTGTCGCAAATCATTTTTTTGTTTTTGTTATTACGTAAAATATAGACAAACAGCATTCTTTTCTTGTGCATAACCAAGCTCTACACATAATACAATGCGTATGCAATGTATAGTGCCTATCCTGCGTTTGCTAATCAAGAACTAGGACTCTCCGCTTCCCAATTGGGTCCGGGTCCGAGGTTGGCTTAATAGCCGGCGACTACTGTAGAAACAATATATACAGAATAAACATTTAATGAACAATGCTCTCTCTGTGCTAAACAAGACTCTAAAAACAGTAACAAAAAGAGCCTGTCGAAAAGTCTACGTGAGCTACTCAATTTTAAAATAATAGGCATATTGTTTGGTTTGTACTAAAGAAATGACTGAAGCTACTTCGACATAAGCAAGCACAAAACATACGAATAACGCTCAAAATCATACAAAAAGAACAACACTTATATTTATACACATAACTAGGCGTCCAGGTTACAAAAGCAGGCCAGTTGTGAAGACAATTAAAAGATACCGTCAACAACACAAGTATCCTTTTATCCGCCATTAACGGTATGCTAGCATAGTGCCGCGGAGCTAAATTTACTTAAGTAAATGACAAGGATGTAGCAATAAAGCGAAATTCAAATTGCCAGTCAATTAGTTTTTGCAATTGGTATTTCCGAAATAATAAGAGTTTGCGAAAATTAAAACATTTTCATAGACGCATTCTTACGTAGAGCAAAGGGGGTATACGTCGCGACGCGAAGTAATATTAACGGTTCCCAGCGTTAGCAGGCTTTATGGCACAACCCTTGAAAGACGAGTACCGTACATCAATCTCCCCTTCTTCAAGTTCATCAAATGCATACAACTCCGCGTAACATTTAGGACTGATACACTTGCGCAGACACATGGTGTAATTGAGTTTGTCAAGAGACTTTTCACTCTCGCAAACGCCTAGACAACTTCTTTCCAGCTTTGCATATGCATTAGTATTCTTTGCCTTATTTTTAAATTGGTAGTGAGGATAAAGAAACCTGGTAGTTTCAACAAAAACAACAAAGGTGCACACAACCAGCAAAAAGGCGCGCAAGGACATCAACACTAACCAACGTGACCTTCGCAATCCGAGCTGTGGTTGCAACGGCCTTGCCAGGTTAGTTCATAAACTCGTCGGATCAGATACCAAAGGTGAAATATTCCCCGGACTTTGAGTCAAAAGTAAGATCCCAAGATTCACCCAATACATCAGGTAAAACAGAAGGCCTCGGTGCTTTCCCACTCGCATGCACACAATTATGATGCCCAATTTTAAATGTAGGACTCGCTGGATTTGTGCAAATGGATTTTTAATTCAATAGATTTAGCTCGAAGATGGAACAACGCAACGCGCTCAACTTGCATGTTTTCTTACTCTCATGAATTTATATATCACTAATTTTTGCTGATTTTGCCCTTATTTGCGTAATTACACTTCTGTTTTATAAAAATATCTTATAATAAAATACGAATTCCACATTTGTTAACGGATCGATAGTCGGGACAAATATTTAATTCCTTTGGGCTTGCAAACGAAATTTGGAGTCCATCTTCAAGGGGAGCAAAATATATAAAAAATATCCTGAACTTGTCATTCGGTTGCCTCTTTTACCTTTGAGAATAGCTGTATCAACTTTCACGACATTTTCCTGTAGCGATCCATCGTGGGACCGTCAAACTGCAAAAGCCCCTGCCCAAATATCTTATGCAAGTCGAAGTTAAAGGTAGTATGTTTGCTTAAGGCATAAGAATGGGTTTTTTTAATGCGCGGTAAGTGCACAGTAGAAGATAAATTAAAGCAACTTGTAACTGTGAAAAAATTCCGACTAAGGTAAGCCCCCATTGGCCAGCAAAGGATGCATAAAGACCAAAAAGAATATTCGAACGACTCCGATATGTTAATATGACGAAGGAAGTGGTTGGACAGGTGGAAATTCGATGTACTGAAAATTTAGAACTAAGCGGTAATTATAAATACTATACCGTCCGGCAGCCCATCTATGGACTTTTACCCATTTACCAATCATGGCGCTATTTCGGAATTACAGGTTGATTATGTTGCGTTTGATACGCGAATGTGAGTGTGGTGTATCTCTTTGGGGACTCTTGGATTGCATCCCATGTCCTAATGGCCTTCCCTACAATTTTTCCAGCGGCCTCTTTGCCACGAGTGTGATCTTGCTGTAAGCAGTTGCTAGCCACAAATGTTTATCTCGAACAGTTTTCTCATACTCATGTTAACTTGTACACTCTACTCATTCTGTTAACTTATGGGAGACAATTGGCATGACAAATGTGATAAATACTAGATAAGTGACCAAGTAGTGCATGGTGGCTACCAGTTAGAGTGTCAGCTGGATATTTAATTCATGAAGGCTATTGTTGACTGCGTTCAGTCATGCCTGAGAGAATGTAAGACAGCCGTAACAGCGGCTTTAGTAAGATTTTAGAGCTAGTTAAAGAGTGAGATTGTCTCCAGGGGTCGGAATTTTTCCTAACATAGAATAACCATCTACTTTCAAAATTTAAGTAGGCTTACTTTTCCAGCTCTCCCAATTTTCGCGCGAAAATTGGGAGAGCTGGAAAAGT